CTCCTCATTCAGCACCACCAGCACCACCATCATTATGACTATCATCAGCATGCTCCTCATTCAGCACCACCAGCACCACCATCATTATGACTATCATCAGCATGCTCCTCATTCAGCACCACCANTCATTATGACTATCATCAGCATGCTCCTCATTCAGCACCACCAGCACCACCATCATTATGACTATCATCAGCATGCTCCTCATTCAGCACCACCAACACCACCATCATGATGACTATCATCAGCATGCTCCTCATTAAGCACCACCATCACCACCATCATTATGACTATCATCAGCATGCTCCTCATTCAGCACCACCAACACCACCATCATTATGACTATCATCAGCATTCTCCTCATTCAGCACCACCAACACCACCATCATTAAGACTATCATCAGCATTCTCCTCATTCAGCGCCACCATCACCACCATCATTATGACTATCATCAGCATTCTCCTCATTCAGCCATCATCATCATAATCCTTAATGACCGCGATCAAACCATGGTCATCGCAAAAACAGCGTCACAGCAACAACCGTCTTTTTTAATATTAATTATATCACAGTTCTCACGGGGTCATCTCAGAACCCTTCTCCTGCCCCCTTATGTTGTTTCATCTTAACGTCAGACATCTGCAGATGATGTGCAAATATTTTGGTGCAGGAGTGCAGTGACGTAGGAGAATTTTGGCAGAAATACAATGACACGTGACAAAATCTTTCTGTAGTTTTCCCTACGTACCGCTACGAACGGCAGAGAAACTAACCAACTCAAAATGGCCGTTGGTACTTGACTCACCTTTAGGAACTTGACCACACTGGACGAATCCTTTCTTTCTAGTATCAGGGATTTCATAGTTTGTGGCGTTTACACACCAACATTCTTTTGATAGCGAATCACATTGGACTGGTAAAAAGGAACCATCGCTAGCACATCTGGGGATCACTCGACCCGGCTTGGGTGGCTCGACTGTTTGTTTAGCAAGAAGAGTCTGACATGGTGTAAGTGGTTTTTCTGGTACAATAAGAATCAATTGAATAAATTAGAAAATGCCTCCAGGGAATTTTAAATACTAATGAAACTCTGGCTTTGGAGTCATGTTTTGAATTGCGATTATCGATGTTTGAGTTTAATTTTATACAGATATCCATGTGTTTTCAACTGCAACTATTGAAAAAGAAATTCTACTCCAGTATATTTGTTCTGACCGAAATGGGAAGACGTGCATGCACTACGTCCAAGTTAAAAAAAGGTCTAAAATACTAAATATTGTTATCTATTGTGCCTGTAAAAGATAAATAACGAGAACGAAGGCGGGTAACACTTTTTGCCAGTATTCGAGGTATATATTATCTGTATCGCTGTATACCTAAGTCTAAGTAGGTTTCCACAACACTGCAAAACCCAATGGAATGACAGTGTTTTTGCTCCGGAGAATCAAGCGAGGTGGGAATATGAGGTGATAAGGTGATTATCATAATATATCATCATATCAGTCAAAGTTTTCGCTCATCCCATACGGAATTATGCTTACTATTGTTTTAAAGGGCCAAGTAAAGTGACTCCATAAAAGATAAAAATACCAAGGTAGATCAGTAATATATGCAATAATACTTGTGACTTACTTATGTTGCTACAGTCGATGGTTTGCAGAGTCTGTAGGACTGATGTGCCTTGTTTTTCCACACCCTTCAAGTCAACACAGAAACAATAAGATCCATAACACTGAACTGGTTCAAACTGGCCTGTAGAGTCACAACGAGGAACATAGCGTCCACTGATGGGATTCCTCCAGTATTCCTGGTACTGACGTTGACAAAGAGAAAGCTTGAGAGCTAAAAAAGAAAGAAAGAATAATGTTCTGTAAATATGTAAACAAGGCAACAACACTGAGGTGTATGTTTAAAGCATTTGTGTAAGAACATGTACCCTGCGAGTTAACCTCCGCAATTGTATCCGAGTTAATTAGAAAATTTAATTCTTATGAAACATAAAGTGTCTTACAAACATGAGATACCGGTATCCAGATATTAGATCCGCTTATAAGTTTTGCTGTTGAGGCTACCCCTAAGCAACAGAGTATTCAAAACTGTAATACTGGAAGGAGTGGAAAATGTGGGCCAATTTTTTTAAATTTTTCAAGTTTTTAAAATTTAGAAAAAATTTAAATTCTTAAATTTTTAAAAGACTTTAAGACGAAAACAAATGCTACATACCTGGGTTGTCACATTTTGGTTTCCCATTAGCAATAGCGAGCGTCGTTCCTGGTATTTCCTTTCCTCTCATGTCCACACAGTAGCAGGAAGATTCTCTACACTGTACTTTGTCATATCCACCTTCAGGTGTGCACTGGGGTATAGGTGCTCCTGGAACAGCGTTTGCTAATGCTGCTTCTCTTCTGTACTGACATTCAGTTTGGCCAGAGACTGTGAGAAGAAAAGCAAAAATTAGGACATATACATACCCAAATAATAATAAAATGCTGTACATGAAATATTTTTGGATAATTTTTAATGTCGTAGTCGTTCAATTTTAAACGCATTTGTTTTATTTTAATATGACTATATTCTAGCCTACTCAAAATAGTTAATTCCAGCCCCTTACCAGCATGAGTACAGTTGGGTCTGGCGGGCATACGCAGTCTTGTGCCAAATATCTCGTGACCATAATAATTAACACAGTAACATTCAGACTCCTGGCACTGAACTGGCACGTATTCCCCCTGGGGGGTACAACGAGGCATAAATCGACCAGATGTGAACTTGTCTCGTTCCGCCTCTTGATATTCCCGTTGACAGTTTGTAAGGTCACGTCCTAAGAAAGAATAGAACATTTTATTTTTTTCTTAGCTTCTTTGCAGTCGTAATATTGTTTTATACCTTTTGACAGGCCAAAAGTGAATAAGTTAGATTTCGGGTTCATACGCGGATCACACGGGGTTTGCTTCGAAAGCTAACAATCCATTTTTTTCTGTGAAATAAATGTTGACAAAAAACATTTGTGACAATATCGCTCAAGTGTAATTTGTTGCTTCACAAATGAATATATAGCTCTGAAGTCCAAGTATGTCTTAGTCAGGCCTCTCGCCAAAGCCTTTTAGCTGAGGGAGGGTCTAGAAGAAATAAGTAACCTAGGCTTAAGTATAAGTTGTTACCGAGTCCAGGGCAAAATATGAAGTCTTTAGTCCTTGTGTTTTTGATTTCTTTTCCCCTTCTATCGACACACCAACAGTACCCAGTCCACTCGTTACATTGTACTTCTTCAAAGTCACCATTAGACTGACATCGCGGTACAAATCGACCTTTTGTGACTTCGGTGCGAAGAGCTTGTTGGACCTGTAGACGGCACTGGCTCTCTTCAGGCTCTGTATGAAATATAAATATGAGACAATCAACAAATTTATTACAGTATAAAGTATGCTATAATTGCACATGAATTGCGGAGCTCTGGAGAGCTTGGAGTGGAAAACCTGGTCGATTAATTAGTCAACAGTAATGATAAACGGGTAAATTTAACACCGTGAAAAGATGAAAAAACTTGCTGACGTTTCGGACGGTAGTCCTTCGTCAAAGTACCATATATTCTGACGAAGGACTAGCGTCCGAAACGTCAGTAAGTTTTTTCATCTTTTCACGGTGTAAAATTTGCCCTTTCATCATTACTGTTTCATTAGAAACACCGACGCAGCTCACACTACTTTTTACCTAGTTATCTCTAATTAGTTTACATGTTAACTAAAGTCCGTGCGAGTATTTAGTGGATATTAGCGAAAATTATTTGTATATGTGTGTGTGTGTGTGTTGGGGAAGGGGGGCTTTCCTTTTCCTTCTGTTTCACCAGTACTCACTTGGCAAGCAGTTGCTGGGCCGTCCTCTTTGGCGCGTATTAGGCATTTCTATCCCCAAAGCATCCACACACCAACAGTACTGTACACCCTCTATAGTATGGCACTGAATCTGTTCATAGTCTCCGTTCTTCTTACAGTGGGGTACGTAGATACCATCAGGAACTTTTCCTGATATACCAAGCAGCCTTGCCCTGTGTTCTTGGCAGTTAGTTATTGGTTCTACAAAACAATAATACAGGGATTCAATATTATTTTTAAAAAATTACTAAATCATTGCATGGTCTTCATAAGTGTTGTGGTGTAAGAAACTGCAAACAAACTGTAAAAAAACTCATAGTTTGGTTTGCAAGGTTCTTCTCTCGTGTCCAAGCGATGGAAAAAGGAAGACAATGAATTCATTAAAAGGTTGTAGCTCTGATTTAAGAAAAGGCAATTGCTATGGGTGCGGTAACCGTATGCCGTCTTTATGTATATTTCATGATGGCGGGACCATTCGAAAAAATGGCTGATTTCATTTTACATATTTTCTAAATTCAAAACATCCAGAATATATGGCACTTATATATTATCTTACCATCTACATTGCATTTTGGTAATGATCTCGTCACAGTGTTCCAGCGTGGTTTGCCATTTTCTTTGACACACCAGCAGTATCCTTTACGACCATCACATTGTATTGGTCGATAAAAACCATTCACGTGACACACTGCCACGTGATTCCATAAGCCAATAGCAGGGCCGGAGCTTGTAAAGAAAGTTCTTTCGCAAAGCGTTTCATTATCTTCGTGATAAAAATAAAGAAAAAAACGCATCAGGAATAGACCCTTTGCATTGATTTCCTAGAGGGATCGTTGGGGGCACAAAACAATAGGCCGTCTTTACTTATGCAAAACTAAAACCATCACCACCACCACCACAACAACAATAACAACAGCAAMAAAAATCCATTTTTCGGTGAATTTGTGTGTTTGTATTGTTAAAAGTTTCTCTTTTCTTTAATTGGGAATAATAAGACGCTAAAATGAGGTTAACTCTGAGTAAATGGGTCTGCAATCAAGGAATTCTGCAATATTTAAAAACAAGTTTTAAAGAAAGTTTTTTTTTTAAACTCAACTCCCAAACAAACCTGTTTTTCTTGTTGCGCATCGTAAAGTTCCATTAGTTCTAGTTCCTTTCATTTCATTTCCTTCAGCATCTGTACACCAGCACTGATTAGATAACCGATTACACTGGACGTCGCTATAACTACCATCAGGTCTACACTCAGGAACGAAGGCTACTACACTTGGGTTTGCCATTATGGCAGCCATTCGCTTTTTCTGGCATCCTGTTTTCTCAGCATCTAAGAAAATAAACGCAAACATTTTGATAAGAATTAGTCGAGTGCGCGTGCCTTAAGAGGATGTTAAGTCTCGATTCCAACTTCTATAATGTTGAGGGCAGAAAATATCGTCAGCATAGTTACAGTAAAAAAATATAATTCACCTTTTCGCGTGGTATAAATGGTGTTGGATTGTGGAAGGTCAACAAAAAGTAAATTCGTAAATGTGATGTGAAAAATGCGAATAATTAATTAGTTCTAGTACGGTGTGATTGCAGTTAGGAGCCACCTTATCATAAACATATCCTAGAATATGACAGCCTCCTACCTGTCTTCTTGCATACTGGTTTTCCATGCAATCCAACATCGACAGAAAATTCTCTCAGTTCTGCACCATTAGCATCCACACAAAAGCAGTAGCCTCTGTGACACTGAACCTTCATATAACTGCCGTCAAGGTTACACTGGGGTACATAACGACCTAATGAGTTTGGTTGACGGGCCATCGACTGGTATTCCTTCCAGCATGGGCTTGAGTATGCACCTTGGATAAGAGAAATGATGCTTTACAATATTCTGCGAATTCAGACACTTCAACAGCTCAATGTTAAATGATTGGTTTCTCGAAGTCGCCAGTCAAAAAAATAAAAGGAATCCACTGGTTATTTTTTGTTGAAAGCAGGGAAATTGAAATAAAACCAAATTCTCAACAAGCCGTTGGAATTTATGAGTTCCATGAATATTAAGCATCGCAGCAAATATGTTATGATAAATTAGACTATCATATCCCAATATCCCTTTGTCTGTCTATCTGTCCGTCGGTCCGTTCGTCTGTCTTTCTGTCTGTCTGTCCTTCTGTCTCTCTCTTTAACTCTGCCTGTCCGACCATCCATTCATCAGTCTGTCTGTCCGTTTATATTTTACTGCTATTAAGCATGAAAGTTGGAAAATGTTCCTCAAAAAATGCGCTTTTAAAAAATAAGTTGTTTTATGAAACTCAAGGGAGTTTCCGGCCATATTGCTTGAACCTCACTAACAGAACACCAATGATCATATCTTACCTTTACCAGGACACGTAACTATGCTATTAGATCTAGTTCCACGTATTTCTTGTCCATCCCTATCGACACACCAGCAGGATGACACATTACACTGGACATCTTGATATTGACCATCATTGGTACATCTTGGTACAAAATCATCCCCACGGTACAGAGACACTTGAACAGCTCTTTCACAGGGAGACAGGATCGTAGCTAAAGGCAAGAAATAATCAAAGAAATTCATAAGTGATCATAAATACACCTAAATCCAAAATGGCGCATGGCCAGTTGCATACAAGGCATCCAGGACCAAATTTACAGTATTTTCTTATATATTGATGCTGCAAAATTGTCGCGTTCCTGAATGTAAGAAGAAAAGGAAGACAGAACAAGTGAACAAGTGTATACTTTGGATTGACACCATATTATTTCTTTGCATTTGGCCCTGGATGCCTCGTTTTCATGTAACACTCCCTCGGCCGTGTGCCAGTTTAGACTTCAAGTGTATTGTAGGACTGTGAAAATCTCAGGGTATACAAGTGCCAAGCCTCTATCACAGCCGTCATTAGTTTCAGTCCCAGATCCTCCCGGGCCGTCACCACTAGCTAACAGGTGCCATGCAGTGATCATAATATTGGGTAGCAGTAAACTCGTGCAATGTGATTGGTTCAATTAATGTCATCTTTTCCGTAAGTTGATCGTGCCGTGTATAGTTGACGTTTTATCCCTTTGTGAATTAATCTGCTTTCAAAAAGTGAAATACGATACATGCAGTGCAAATACAAGAATCTGCATTTTGTTCTCCCTTGCAATGTCCATATAGACTTGTTTACACTAAGAGAAAAGATGATATTAAACATTGCGCATTGTCGTGAGTACTGAAATCCCTAATTTGTGCGAATGACCTGCTTTTGACCAAACTTCAACTACTACATACAGTATATCGATGTGAAGGACAGACCTAAGTTTAAGTCGTGTTTTTTTGTTTTTTTGTGTTGCTGTTGTTGTTGTTGTCGTTGTTTGTTTTGTTTTTTTTTTTTTCTGGTATGAACTAGAGTATATTAGAGGGTTTGTTTAACGTATATTGACCATAACTTATAGACCTATTTAGCAATTTCAAATCATGCTTCTTCGCATGAAAATCGTTAATCTTTGTTTAACAGTTGCACACTGATGAGAATTTAGATAAAACAAACTATAAGAATTGTATTTTTAAGAGAATGACACGCGCACGTGGTCTAAAACGGAAAAAAAGATTACGCCTAAGCGAACCAAAAAGTACATAAATTCTTATTATTTATTTACCAATGTTTTGACACTGTGGCTTGGATCCTATTGGTACCCTGGTTCCTGGAATTTGTACTCCTCTTTGGTTCACACAGAAACAGAAAGAACCATGACACTGAACCTCGTGGAAATTACCATCAGGTTTACACTGGGGTTTGTAAGAACCATACAATCCGCTGGATGTCGCTGTTTTACGCTGCCCTTCGCATTCAGACTCTAAAACTTATTAAGATAGCACAGTTAGTCTTCTAAGTAAGTAAAAGGTCATTGGAATATTTATTTATCCTTATTTATTATTTATTTATGATGGTGTTTGGGAATGAGAATGAGAAAAGCAAAATATAGCAAAAATGGGCTAAATAATAAATTAGCGTTGAAAACGTTAAACGGCGGAACTTTCTCTGCCCCTCCGCTCAAAGATTTTTATTCTTTTATTTGTACATAATTAACGATATAGTGAACTTCTGTAGGTTGAAATCATATGTACTTATTGACTGAGTGGGAGGGCCGTACGGGAAAATATTTGGCTCGAGGTGATGCCGTACAAATGACCGAGAGCCAAATATTTTCCCGTACGGCCCGACCTAACTCAGTCAATAAGCATTTTATCATATGACCCTCACGAAAAAATCAATAAAAAAATAAAAGAAAGAAAGAAATAGTAAATAAAAGCTAAAAAAGAGAAAGCGCGCGGATTCGAGCAGGGCCGGACGGGTTTTTCCGCCCCCTTACGTCAACCCGTCCGGCCCCCATCACGTGACTTTTTCCAATGGTTTTATTAGAGCGCGCGAGCAGGGCCGTACGGGTCATATGATAATTGCACTTATTTCCTATCTGGGAGTCAAAATAAAAAAATTCACTTTTTTAGAGGCTTGGAATACTTTTTTCATGTGAATATTGTTCAAGTGTTGTGATCCCCTAGGTAGAGATTTTAGCRCAAGGGGGTCCGTTGAATCTTTAAATTTGTCATACACACACCGGGTAATTAGGGATATTTTCTTATAATATCCTAGTAAATTAATCAACAATTATTAGCCAAAGGCCAAGTGAATATCGGTGAATATTTACCGAGCCGTGAGTCTTCGCGCGGCGATGTAAATATTCCCCGATATTCACATCGCCTGAGGTAAATAATCATAGACGTGGATATCAAAGAAAAGACGAAATTCAGAATACAAACAAGTTTTTTATTAATATTTTTGCTTTGGAAAACTTTTGAAATCATCAAAATCGCCGTTCGAGCAGTGATTATCATCTCAGAATCACTGGTCGCTCGACCAATCACAGCGCGCGAAATTCACGTCTAAAATTATACTAAAGATGATTATGAATATTGGATTGAGTAACACTCACCTGGATGAGAGCAAACAGCATCACCACGAAATATCTCCACCCGTGACGTATAAGCCTCGACACCATGTACTTTGCTGACACAGTAACAATGTGATCTGTGACATTGATGGAGCTGGTAATGGCCATCTATAGAACACCAAGGAACAAATCTGCCTTCCAAGTACCACTGTCTGGTTTTTTCTTGATATTCTAATTGGCACTTGGGCARCTGACCACCTGCAATGGCAAAAGTTGCTTTATTATTATTCTTTTGTTTGTTTGTGTCAGTGTTTGTTGAAGTAACAAAAATTACCAAACTCGCAGTAACTTCCTCTCTAGCTAGCTAAGTGCTCGCTTTCTAATATTGTTATTGCATTTACCGTTTTCTTCAACTAGAGTCTTAGGAAGTCTTAGGAAAAAAGTTAATATTGGTTGCAGTTTACAATAAATTTAAAGTTAAGGCATCAAGTTTACTCACCTATGACTGGGCATCTAACGACTCCATTAGATCTGGTTCCAGCCAGCTCCTTTCCATTACTATTAACACACCAACATTGTCTGGAAAAAGGTTGACACTGTATTTTCTCGTAGCTACCATACCAAGTGCATTTTGGGGTATGCAGTTCAACTCCAATTCGAATTCCCGTTTCACTGGCTATCTGACAGTGGGAGAGCTTTTGGTCTGTAAAAAATAAGATTTATGAATCAGGATAGGCATTCGATCTTATTCAACAAATATAATAGCTTTTTTCCTTGCTCCGTTCAGTACTAAAGCACGCAGTAAGTGACGTAAGCACGAAAGAAGCGAAAGAAGAAGCAAAAGGGGTAGGCGAGCGCTTCTAGCACTTCTTAGTAAATAAGTAAGTACGAACGGAGCACGGAAAAAACTGTTTTATTTGTTTTATTATATAGTTACTAATTTTATTTCGGTACGGAATTTATTTACGCAAAAAGAAAGACGGCTGCAGGATCATCTAGCAGCATTTCGCGCACGCGGATGGCGTCAGCACTGTTCTTCGTTCACTAATAAAGCACAGTTTTCGAATTCGACCAATCAGCGCGCACGTACTATCCTAACTATACAATAATTATTTATTTGAAGCACAGGAGACGTGCAGGAGAAAACTAACGAGCAACTCTACTCACATACGACACGGGAGTCGAAGGGGTGAATAACTGAAGGAATGAATGAGATAATTGGTAAATCAATGGCGAAGAGATGAAAGAATGAAAGTTTGCATGCATGTATATATTGTTCAAGTAATGATAAACCTTAGGACATAGTTACTTTAGGGTCCCCCCTCGATACTCGAGTTTCGAGTTCTCATTCGTTCAGCCTAAGCCTTAGTCGTGAATAAAAAAATATAGTTTCCTATGGAAAAACACTGTGTTGCCGAGCCTCTTGTCATGGCTGCCATCACGTGATAGTGAAAAGCCTCTATAAAGGCAACGTCAAAGATATACTTACCCTTTGTAGGTTGTTTGCAGTCGGGTCGGCCCTGTACTATGCTGACGAGCGTTCCTTCAATTGTTGCACCATTTGAATCAACGCAATAACATTCTGGACCAAAGCATTGCATCGGTTGGAAGCGACCAGCATCATCACACCATAGTGAAAAGCCTCCTTTGACGCGGCTACGCTGAGATGATTGGTATTGTTTTTGACAAGCGGTCAGTGGCTTTTCTACGACACATCATTAAAAAATATGTTAATACTACCTTTAAATTTTTGCTTAATTCTTCTATTCTTTCCTTTCTTTCTTTATTTTCCTTTTTTTTTTAATCTATTTTTGCTTTCTTCTTTCTTTCCTTCTTTCTCCCTTTCTTTCTTACATTCTAAATGTTCTTTCTATTCTTCTTTTCTCTGATTCTGACGAAGACATTTTTTCCTTGATTTTAAAAGTAATACAATGTATATAAAGAAAATTATTTTTAAAATACTTTTAAGTTTTTCTTCAATTCAAAAAGTATTCATTACTCAAGCCATAGTACAGCCTAGACAGTAACCAATGGCTGAAATAAAGGGAATAAGCCAAATTGAATAATCTTGACATTTTTTGGTCGCACCTATCTTGGAATGTGCTTTTCATTGATGCAAATTTTCTATTCTTTCAATCACACTAAAATAGAAATTGCATGACCCCACGATAGCAGATATATTGGAAGGCAAAGGCATGGTACGTTTTGTTTTGTTTTGTATTTATTTCTTTAGAGAAAAGAGAGCCTATGGTTCTGTCTTCCAACATGGCTGCCGTCAAGTTGCTGTTATACAATCCTCAGTTACAATAGCCTTATTAGACAAAAATCAATAAACACGGTTAAAATTGAAATCATAGTAATAAGGCTCACCTGGTGTTGTGCAGCTTACTGGTCCCCACTTCTTGGTTCCAGGGACCTCTTGACCATTAGAATCCACACACCAACATGTTCCAATCGATGGATGACATTGAACCTCTTCATATCGACCGTCCGGTTTGCACGTAGGCGAGTAGCGACCGGGATAAAAGAAGCGATCACCATATTTGATGTGGTCGCGTTGACAAGGCGTTAAAATTGCTCCTAAAAACCATATCGAGAAAATGTTTCGTTCTGTGACATGGAGCAAATACTACAGCTACATAATAGGCTGTGTTTTCACTAGATATGTTAATTTGCGTAAAATTCCTGGTGGAAAAATCGACCTCTCAAGAATATCACTGTGATTCGCCCATTTATTTATAGGACAACTTAACAGCATCTTGCTAGGTAGTTTAACTTTGCCTTATTTCCGGTGCTATATTTAAGCTAGTTTAAATTGTCCTAGTGAAAACACAGCCATATTTGTTAAAGCTTCGTACAACTTCGTGCCTTGACCTTGCCGGGTGTTGTCGTCCCCCCGGGCCTTCCTTCCCTCAAAGATACCTTTACAAAGCAGAAAAGCATTCTAACCTTTAGCTGTACAATCAGGTAGACCAGCTTCACTTCTTAGTCTTGTTCTTGGTATTTCATCACCATTTTTATTAACACAGAAACAGTAAGAGTCATGACATTGAAGCCATCTATAGTTCCCTTCTGGGGTACACCAAGGAAGGTAGTGCTCAGTTGCGGGATTACGAAACACCTCAAAGTATCGTCTTTGGCAATCAGTTAGTAACTTGTTCGAGTCTGCAAACATACATTATTGACAGCTAACCATCAATTCGACACTATGTAACTTAAAAGGATTGTACTCGAGATCGAGCGACTTCCTCATACTAATGTATGCGCTATATTCTTACCTGAATGTGGCGGGCATTGTAGAGTTAGATTTGTCTTTGTTCCAGGTAGCATTTGTCCACGGATATCCACACACCAGCAGTCACCTGTTCGGCCCTCACATTGAACCTCTTCATACATGCCGTTAGCATTACACCGGGGAATATGTTGTCCAAGCTCAGGTCTGCTTATTGCTTGACCATAGGCACGTTGGCAATCGGTTAGTTTATTGTCTATTGTTGGTTAAAAATGAATTAGAAAAAAAAGTAAAAATGTGTTATACGTCTAACGATGAAAAGATGATGATGACGGCATTGATGACGGTTGAAAGGTTTTTTGATGATATATGATGACGTTTTAAATGGTGATTAGAGAACAAAAAGCATGGAAGATGCTGTTGTATTTTAAATAAGATTTACGGCCATCATTGTAGAATTTGTTCAAGAACGAAACAAAATTAAAGAACAGAAACTAAGAAAAACACACCTGCCAAAATAAAAAATAATACTAATGAAACATTAAAGTAAAAAGGCAAAAGGGAAAGTTGCAACTTACTAGCTCTTGAGCACCTTGGTTTTCCCGCTTCAATTCTGGTTTCAGTTCCTTGAATTTGGTGTCCATTTTTGTCCACACAGTAGCAGACATGTCTTTGACATTGAATGTTATTATAGCTGCCGTCTGTTGCACATCGAGGTATGAAAGTGCTGTTGTTCTTAACTGCATTACGGTATTCTGTCTGACACGCCGTCAAATTAGTTTCTACGAAGAAAAAAATGATTAAGATTATATTGTCATATCCATCAACACCATGAGCAAGCTTGATTCAAAATTGTTACTAAAGTTGCTTTGACTGTTGTGCAAGTTGGCACAAAAGCCGCGTTAACCTAGCAAATTACAAGTGGATAAACACTTTTACCAACACTAATTGATAACACGCAACGATGTATTAGGATGTATTAGGATTATTAGGGTGGATTTACAGGAAGAAGGCAATTAGGAGTGAATCTGTATTGTCAACTTACCTTTGCAGATGTTTGGTACTATTTTATCGATGACATTAAAGATACTGGCAAAAGAACCAACAGCAAATATTTTGGAAGGATCGGAGGCTATGTCTCTGAGTTCATTTTGACTTACTCCATTGCCAACGCCGACTGCCCAGATCTCTACGCCCTTGTCTTTCAGTACCTTGGATGCTACATCAAGAGAAATAACTTGTTCTTTGCTAGTTGTTTGTCTTCCATGAATTAACATTATCATCACCTAATTGTGCACAAAATATTTAGTACGTCCATTCATGCAACTGTTTCTCCTATGCACCCATGCATGCATGCATGCATCAATGCATCCACGCATCCACGCATCCACGCATCCACGCATCTATGCATCTATGCATCTATGCATCTATGCATCTATGCATCTATGCATCTATGCATCCATGCATTCATCCCTCCCTTCCTATATTCAATCATCTAACATTTGAATACCTTTTTGGCAGTTTCTCTCATGCCACCACGAGACGAGAACAACTCGTTATTGGCCATTGCTAAAGCCTTGTAAGGAAAGGTATAGCCCCTCAAACGTGGTATCTCATTTATTAGATTCTGAACCTCATAATCTCTGTGTTGTCCTTTGATAGTGTTAAATCTGAAGTGCAGATGAGGGTCTGTGGAGTAAGAAATCAACCCAACATGGGTGCCACCTCTTGAAACGTCAAATCTTTCCAAGAATGCCTTAACAAATTTGATGACTTGAGGCCACTCTTGAGGACGAATACTTCCAGATGAGTCGATCAGAAAGGCAAGATCTATAATTTGTCTGCATTTGTTGACTGAAAGCAAAAGAAAATTCAGATCACTAATATTAATTGTCATGTAATGTTCAACAAACAAGTTTCAAGGGTAGACACACGCTGCAACAGTCCTGTCGCGTGCAATGCTGCGCGCAATGTTGCACCGTGTGTCCGTAACTTTAGATGTTTTCTGAATGGAGCCTAACTATATGTATTTGTAAACGGCGAAAAAGCACAAATGAAAATAGAGAGGAAAATGCAATTAAACAATAGAAAAACAAAAACAACATTGAATTATGGCTTACCCTGTACATTATCTGAACAACGAGAAAATCGAGTACCATGGCTAGGTATTTGGGTCAAGCAGCTTACCTTGTTTTACAGGATCCATGCAGACACGTTCACACCCAGTTGCCCAGACACAACATTTACGATCTCCCTCGCAGTCTTGGTCATTCTGACATTCGTCTGTCATTTCTCCATTACATTCAACAGTATCTAAAGTAGGAATAGGACACATCCCAGGCTTAGCTGTGATAGAGAAAAAAAAGTTTTTCGATATGGCGTTAAATTTTGCTCTTGACTCTGCTCATACTTTTACGATTGCTACAAATCTACTGACATACAACACCGCACCTAGCAAGATTCGAACCCGGGTTGCATTGGTGAGAGGCGACACCACCTGTTCTCGGGTTGTTGTTGTTGTTGATGTCGTTGTTCTTATTGTTGTTGTCGTTGTTGTTTTTGAAAACCTTCTTTATAAAAAAGGTTAAGCTAAGGCTTTCTACCATCTGCATAATATCAACCGCATACGTAAGTTTTTAAGTCCAGAGGGCACAAAAGCTTTGGTGCATGCATTTGTAACATCACGCGTTGATTACTGTAACAGTTTATTATATGGTTTACTTGCAAAGCATTTGCATAAATTGCAACGAGTTTTGAATACTGCGGCAAGGTTGGTATGCTGCGCCCCGCGGTTTTGTCATATCTCGCCTCTGATGCGCGAGCTGCATTGGCTACCAGTTAGGTACCGTATACACTTTAAGATACTGCTATTCGCATTTAAGGCCATTCATGGTCTCGCGCCACCGTACATAAAAGAATTGATTTCAATCAAGAGTCAAGGCAACTACAATCTGCGTTCATATACAGGAATATTGCTAGCTTATCCTAGTTTTCGCACACGGGCCACCTTAGGGGATAGAGCGTTTGTTGCAGCTGCGCCTGCACTTTGGAATGACCTTCCATTTGAATTGCGCGCAATAACTGATATTAACACATTTAAGCGTCATTTGAAAACTTTGCTTTTTAGCCTGGCATACAATTAGGTGATTTGAAATATATTATGTAATCCAGAGAGCATCCACAAAGTTGGGACATGATATTATTTTATGTATATAGTTATATTTTTATGATTTTTATTGGTATTTTGTTTAGATTAGTTCCTAATATTATTATATATGTATGTATATATATGAGTGTGTGTGTATATGTGTATATATATATATTTTTTACTATATATAATTTCGATTGTGATTACAATATTTATTTATATTATAATTTTAGTGAATTAGATTAGATTTATTTTATATCATATATATTGTAATGCGCTACTGATAATTTTATTGAAGCAGCGCAATATAAGTCAATAAATTATTATTATTATTATTATTATTATTATTATTATTATTATTATTACATGGAAAATATTACTTGGTCACTTAAAGCAAACCTTTTGCAACAGCTGGCATGCATTGTCTAATGCAGTTAGAGAGACAGCATTTGAGTCCATGATGACAGTCATTATCTTTGTTGCACTGATGACGTATATCCAATGGACATGAGTGACTTGGTATTGGGCCCACAGGACAAACACGGCTACCTTTTGAAACTTAAGAACCACAGCAGAACAACTTATGAGCTACTTGCATGCTGAAAGGTCGACAACTGTGTTGCATAAGTAAAAGGAGCATTACGAGTGCGTATACCAGTCGAGAGATACTGGTGCGCGCATTAGGCTTTTTTAAGTGGAAGAAAATATGAATTGAAAACTACTGACAGAATATTTTTTCCTTCGTTGTGTTTTTCCGTTTTCTGCTTTGTAATACAGTTCTTACAAAGCGCGGAAAGTTGTCAAAAAGTGTGTGAAGCACTGACTCCTACTAAGATAGTAAGAACGTGATTGCAACAACATAAACAACCCAACTACGAAATGAAAACAACAACGGCACAAATACGAAAATGCGACAACAAAGATAACAAAAACAACAGCAGATGTACGATCACGAGAAAAACAACAACAGCAACTGAGCAACTATGAAAATAACAACAACAACATGCATTAAAAATGCATCCACGAAAACTGCAACAACAAAAACAAAATCCGGTGTAAATCCGGTGTTACAGCCAAGGCGGGAGCAGGCGGAGCTCAGTTGGCTAGTGCGCCGCCTACGGAGCAAGAGGTTCACGGTTCGATCCACAGGATCTCCTCTGTTTTGACTTTTCTCTAATCCGTGAATACACTTAAAACAGAGCATTGCTGGAGATGGGGGTTAACTGTGCACCGTCGGCTCCCTAGGATATCAGCCTCGTAGCTGAAGGAACTAACGACATTAAATATAGTTGCTTTATATTCTAATCATCTTACCTCTTGCTGCACAAGATTCTTCACATGTTTCCTTGTTATCAAACCTGTTACCATTACCTCCACACCCACTGTAGACGAAAGGAAGACATGTCTTTTGCTCTCTGTTAAAATACCAGCGAACAAGTACTTGTGAGCAATTGCCGTAGGTTGGCTGTTCATTGCAATGGTTTGGTTCTGTGGGAGGCTTCGTAGGCTTCTTTGGCTCTGGAAATAATGATGAAAGGAAACGTTAAATGAAAGTATGTAATAAAGAAAAAGACACACAGTCAACCAAGCAAGTATTAAAGAGAGCAGGTAAATAAGTAATATAGAAAAAGAAATGTTTTGTTCATATACTGAGAATGCTTTTTGTTCGTATAAGACATCTCGGCTTTTAATACAGCTATTTCAGCGAAGGCCATGACGATTTTGTTGCGTGTTGCATACAAAGCCAGAAATGCCATTGTATATTGTATATCATATGTAAATACAGTAAAATCCCCCATAAAAGAACCACTATTTTCACAAGTTAGGCTGTGAATAGTTCTTATATATTTGGTATCTAGTGAGAAATTAGGATGAGAAGGTTCTTAACAGGTTCCTATTACAAACCAAAAACAATTGGTTCTGATATTCTTTTAATCGTTTTTAAATGAGTATGCTATTTATACCTGGAATGTCTTATATCAACATCGCATTAAACATGAATTAACCCCAACTGTACTTAACATTTGCATCTAAACTGCAATAACTAACTTTATTATTATAAACATTAGTGCTTTACTGGTAAATGCGCTACTTGTATTTTTCATACCAACCACATCCGGGACCTCAGTGATGTATTTTTCATATCCTCACAAGGGAAAATATAAATGACGTCTTTTCTTTTCCAACTTTTTTACAATGTATTCGACAGTTTTTGTTTGTGATTATAATAAAAAGAAAATTACACGTTAGTTTGATGATATGAAGTTTATTCTCTCATGATGAAAAATATTTCACTCGTTCGCTGAGTTTGCTGAGCTCACTTGTATCACCAGACGAATAAACTTCATATGTTTGCGACACCGTGTAATTTCCTCTATATATTTCACTGAACATTTATTGAACATTTTCGTCAAAATTTCATACTTTTCGAACTGCCTTTTTTCTCGGTCAGTGCCTGGTGGAGCTTGATCCACTGGTCTTTCATGTGTGTCTTTACCGTGCGTGTCCATATACATTGTGTTACATTTCATCATTTACATCGCCCATAGTCGTACTTCGGCTTGGAATGCATTATGCATCATTAACAAAACTTTCACCGACTATCAACAGTTTTGAAATAGTTGTAAATTAGGCATTGAATAAAGAATGAAAGCTGAAAACTAATTATAGTCTAATTTGTAACACAAACCGTTCACTAATTATTCAAAGATGTTCAGGTTTGATGTTTGTAAATCTACAGATATTGCTTTACAAAATAACAAATTCCGAAATCAAATCTACTGGAAAGGTGGAGGGTGCAAGAGAGACAACCCAAGAGGGTTAAACAAAGTACTAATCTACTAATATTTTCTTAGCTTGGATTTACTTGGATACAATAAATGAATTGCAAATAAAATCCACTTTATGTAACGGTTTGGCTGACTTTGGTTTGTGTTTCAGTTAGGACATTCGAACCGAGAAGACTTCGATTTCTTTTTATCATGTGTACGAAAAACTGTTCACTGTTCGAATGCCCTCGCTGTTAAGTGAACTGTTAGTAATGAAATTAACACAAATACCTACAATATATAGATGTAGAGATACGAAGGCAGCCCAAATAGTGTATATGTAGGTTAAATCTGACTTTCAATTTTTACTTTAAAAAACCCACAAATAACACCTGATCAATAAGAAAACATGTTTCAGACAAATACGCCTTAGATTATACATTTGATGAAACAATTCTTCGGATGCTGATCAGATTATACATTCTTATAGAAAACATATGAACATTCCTGCTTAATCTTCCTGCGTATCACCAGGAGCTAGGTAAGTTATGGATTACTCAACCGCATAGTTGTTTTTTTTTCCCCTGTTTCTAGAAAGTTTATCCTTGAAAGGCATGCCAATGTAGTAATTCTATTCCAGTTTCATAGCTAGAAAGGATTTACCGATTTACAGATTTAAATGCATTAATCTTAAACGTCAACAGATGATCTTAAGCACGAGATGCTCACGAAACAAATGGGCCGTTTTAATAAAGGTAAAGAAAAGAAAGATAAATCCACTATTTTAATTCATAGACTTATAAAATTAAAAGGCTGCAAAGGCATTAATGTCGCGTGATTATGGAATTCAAAAACTAAGTGCAAAAAATATTAGTATAACACAATTGTGCAATAGTGTTGTTAATCTTGTTAAAAACAAGCTGACGATCAGGTGGCCATTCATATAGGGAAACCTGATGTCACTCATACCAGAGCCGTGTGTACTTAAGTCCTAAGCTACTAAAAAAACAGGATGTGTGAGTTTGCAATCATTGTGTCTTTTGTAGAATCTATTTCATTCAGTGAGTAGAGATTCCAGAAACACCTTGTCCGTTGGGCAAAAA